AACAGTGAAAGCTTCTTCTCTCCCATAAGTTATGTCTTCTCTGCTGGAGTCAGCTTATCAGTTTGTTTTTTTATCTTGGTTTTATTCTTTTAGGTTGTTGACCAACATTTCACAAACTTTTCTTGCCCGTTTTTATTTAATAAATTGGACGTTCTTCTAATGTTATAAAAGCAAATTTGTTTTCCTTTTTGGCCTCATCCCAAATAGACATTCTATGGAAGAGCCCAGAGTGGGTATGCCTGTGCACGGCGAGAGCTTACTCTGAGGGACCATTGGGACCTCTATTACCCGTGTGGCACTTCGTGCACCTTAGAAAAACGTGTCGTCCACACGTCGGGCTTGGCTGATGAGTGATGCCTTTGTGCTGTGAAAGGGCACGTGTCATCCCCACAGCCACACAGCCATGCCAGGAGGGGCGCTAGAAGCACACATGCAGGTCCACAGGCCCTTTGCTGGGCAGCCGGCAGGCCTGCAGGCCGCGCTGGTGCTGACGGCTCACTGCCTGCCTGCGCTCTGGCCCGGCAGCCGTTCTGTAACTTTAGAAAGGGTACTGGAGTTGCTCTAAAGCGGAAGGGCATTCCCTGTGCGCTCTGCTGAGAAGCGGGGTGGTGGGCCTGCCTTCCCAGCCCAAGCACGCATTGCCCTTGGGGCTGCGCTGGCCTCTTCCCCAGATGTTAGCGGGACAGCGGGACAGCCACTGCTCTGAGCTCCTGTCACTCACAGCTCTGGATGGCACCTTTCTCTTCTCTCTGTCTGCTTTCATATCTTCACAATGTACTGTAATTTCTTCTTCTGTTTTTTTAATTTGCCAGAGGGCATGTGCACTCACCAGACAGATAAGAAGAGGGAAAAGCAACGCCCACGGGTCATGGTGGCACCGTAACCTCTCTTCCCTTTCTCTGTCCCATGTGTATGTCTAGCCGCTGGCCCTGGGCCTTGCACTGTGTGTCAGCCGGGTGGGATCGAGCTCCCTCATTCACGAGGCCAGCCCGGCTGTATTTTAGGCTCCTTCTGATGTGCCCCACCACCAGGGCACCTAGCTTTGTTTTCAGTATTTATTTACTTCTTATGCTGTTAGGAATGTCTTCCTTTTTGCACGTCTGTGCTCTGCGTGGTGAGCTGGCAGCAGTGCAGAAGAGCAGGCTTATGTAGCTGTCCCTCCACTCTGGACTGACATCTGTCAGTTTTGAACCCAATGAAGACCTAAGCACACACCTACTTCCATCGCGTCGTTTTCCTCTCGAAACCTCTCGCACAGTTGCATCACTCATGGAGGAAGCCCGTGCAGCTTTGTGGCTCATGACTGTCCCTTCCCAGGCACCCCTCTGTCCCACTGCTGCATCAGTCGAGTGCTTCTGCAAAACGTGGTGTGTTCTCTGACCTCCAAGTCTCCCAGGCCCACCCGTCTTTTAAGATTCATCTCAGGCTTTACATGAGGATTTTTTTCACCGTGTCCAAAGCGTGGATGATATTTGATACATGAAGCTTGCTTGCTTGCTTTGTTTTTCTTTATTGGTAAGGACCAACTGAGGAATGCGTGTAAAAATACTTCAAACACTGTAGTGTGTGCCACAGATATTAGTCTCTGTTTCATGCAAGAAGTCTGTGAATCCCTGCTCCATACTTACGCTTCATGCTAAACCCTGTGGTGGGATAAAGAGAATGTTCACACTAATACTAAGGATATTTAAGTATTTCACATAACCTTTAAGCACTGGGTCATCAGAAAAGTAGTGATGTATTTTTGTATACAGAAACATAGAAAAATACGGCTTTTCCAGTGACCCAATATTTCTGTTTTTGTTTCTGTCATCTAATTTTCTTCTCAGACAGTGGTAGTTGCAATGTAACACTTTTAAGATGAGATGGTATAACTTGTTTTATGCCCTAGGGGAGGGTCAGCTCACTTGCCAAGCTCTGCATTGCATTACACTTCTTTTTTATTTTATTTATTATTATCATAATCTTTTTATATTACATTGAATCACATATATCTTTTTATTATTTTACTTTTTATCTCAATTCCTTTTATACATTCAGTAACCTTCTTTAGCCGGCAAAGTGAATGTTCCAACATGTGTACATTTCTCACCAGGCCAGTTGACAGGACTATAGACATTGAGGAGAAAAATACAGAGGCAGTGTGCTACGTCTTCAGAGAACGCTGTTATGTTAGCCGAGCAGTCTTTTCAGAAAAGAGCTTTTGTTGCTGTTGATCTGGTTTAGTTATATTATAGGTTATTCAGCAAGATTTATGATTACTAGATTATTATAACCCGTTCAAGATACCAGGACACAGTAGCATTTGATGTCTTTCAGTGAAAGTGCCTCCTCCTTTAGTTAAACACGTACTGGCTTTAATCTTCTCCTCTTTTTCATTCAGCATGTCAGAGGGTACTGGTGGACCTCCTGGTGTCACTGATGCGCTCACAGACGTGCTCAGAAGACCTGACCCTTCTGCTGAGAATATTCCTGGAGCCGTCCCCTTGCACAGTAAGTATGCTAGGCCCCTTCAGCGCTCAGATGCTTAGCGGGCCTCGCCATCACTTGGGAGTGCTGAAGCTCGCAGGCTTGTTTTCTAGCCTAGTGCTTTGTGTTAAGGGCTCAATTTCCTCATTATTCCGCATGTTTTAACTTTGAACTTTGATTTGGACTAACCTTACTTATATTGGGATCATAGTCCCTCTTTTTTTTTTTTTTAAAAGAGGTCTTTGCTATAGGGCCTGTGTGCTCGCCAGACAGAGAGAGAGAGAGAGACAGAGAGACAGAAAGTGAGAAATCACTCCCCAAGGGGATGGCCATGCTGCAATCCCTTCTCCTCCATTCTCCTCTCGGGATCTTGGGCACGCACACACACGTGCCCAGTGTGAGTTTAAGCCACCAGGTCCGGGATGCGAACCACGGTCGACTACGTGGGAGTCCAGCAACATAGCCATTACGCTAACTGCTGGTCCTTAAAAAAAAAAGAGGTCTTTGCTATAGGGCGCGTGTGCTCGCCAGACAGAGAGAGAGAGAGAGACAGAGAGACAGAAAGTGAGAAATCACTCCCCAAGGGGATGGCCATGCTGCAATCCCTTCTCCTCCATTCTCCTCTCGGGATCTTGGGCACGCACACACACATGCCCAGTGTGAGTTTAAGCCACCAGGTCCGGGATGCGAACCACGGTCGACTACGTGGGAGTCCAGCAACATAGCCATTACGCTAACTGCTGGTCCTTCATTTTTTTTTTTAATGCCAGAGGGTTTGTGAGAGAGAAAGAAAGCACCCCACCCCCGCACAGTGGCCCCATCATCCTGCAGTTTCTTCCCTCTAGTTCTCCATCCTGTCAGAAACCTGAGCACACGTGTCCACCCACGCACACCCACATACCCGGCCAGCACGCGAGCTGCCAGAGCTGGTCGAACCAGGCTCGCCCTGTGGGGTCTGGCTTGCCCTGTGCAGTGCTCAGCTGCTGCATCACAGGGCTGGCCCAGGCCTGGTGTCACAGCCTGAACTTCCCAGGGGTTTCTGGGACAGCCCTTGGCCTTTCCCCTGCCATAGCGTCATGGCTTCTAGATCTTGTTTTCTTTATTCCTGATGGAGCACACGTGCGGACGAGGAGGAAGGAGAGGCGCAGCCTCCTCTGGTCTGGGCCAGCAGTGACCCCAGCCCTTCGGCTGGTCAGATCCTGGCACTTGTGCTCCTGCCTGGGGTGTTGGAGGCCCAGGGAGCCGGAGCTCGGAAGGACAGCCGCCACGTGGGCTGTCCCTGCCCTTGAACACGTCCCTGCTGTGCCGGAGGCTGGTTGAGCTGTCTTTTGCTGGGAAACCTGTTTGCAAATCTTAGACCCTTAAAGCAAATCAAACAGAAGAGTTCAGCGCTACTTTGTGTGAAGCAGGGCTGGGTGTTCCAGAGCCCTGCTCTCCACCTCCTCTCCAGTCCCGTGTGTGTGAGGGGCTCTGGGACACGGCAGAAAACTACTGGGGTAGAGCGTGGGGCACCAGCCGCTCCTCTGGGGGGGCGGGTCACAGCAGCTGTGTGACCCACATGAGATGGTGTCGCCCACGGGGTGGCATTGAACGAGGCTGGCCTTCTCTGCTTTTTCCTCGTGTGTCCTAGTCGCCATTCTTCCCTCGAAGGACAGGCTCACTGCCTTTTACTTCCTCTGGACAGTCTGCGTTCCAGTCTGAGTTTGTAATTTTAAATAAAACCGTGATTGAGTTTACCAAGCACAGTTGAAAGAAAATTTACTTGATTATGGAAAAAACACGTGAAATTAACTTGAAAATACTTGAGCACTATTTCACGAAGTCAACATGTAATATGAGGGGTCTTCAAAAATTCAAGAAAAATGTATATTATGAAAAACTATGCAAGATTTCAAGGATTTTTTGGTACCAGACTACTTGTATTTTAATTCCATCTTTCCATTAACTTGCTGAAGTTCCCTTATACCATTTGGACATTTGTAGAATTTGTAAGATGTCTGGTTATATTCCGGATTTAAAATTAATTGAAATAAGAACCATAATTTACCTGAACATAAATGTCTTCTTTGACAGAATGGGTTCCTGATGTAAATATTGTATTTATCATACTTACAGTCAACTCCTGAATACTAGATTTAGACCGTTAACACATCTAAATAGGAGACAGAGTAGCCACAGATGTGCTCATATTCAAAAGTGAGGTCTCTGTGCATGTTTCCTCATGGCCACGCAGAAAGGAGAGCGTAGGGGTGCGGCCGCTCGACAGGTGCTCGAGCAGGAGTGCCGACGCAGCTGCAGGAGTCAAGCGCGCTTCGGTTCCGAACCCGGACCTCAGGAGTACTTAGGATCTCCTTACCTGACTGGGGGTTTTCATCTGTCTTTCTGTTTTCCTAGGAAATCCTTCTCTGGGGCATTCTGAAAATCGTCGAGAGCGACGCCCCCATGAGCCCACTGCAGTCTCTGACCTTCCCGTGGCTGCACACTCCACACGGGGGCGGCGGCGTTTCATCTCACAAGGGCCCCGGGATTCTGACCACGAAGGCTGCAGGCTTGCTACGACGCGCCCGAGCTTCCCGGGGCCAGGCCGAGGCCAACAGGGAGAGTCCACCTCACCGGCTGCTGTCCTCCTGGCACGTGGCCCCCGTCCACCTGCCGCTGCTGGGGCAGAACTGCTGGCCACACCTGTCCGAAGGCTTCAGTGTCTCCCTGTGGCTCCACGTGCAGCCTGCCCACGAGGCTGAGGGCACCACAGAAAGCAGCAAGAGGCCCAGAAAAAGGAACAAGTCGTTAATCTTACGGGGTGGCAGTTGGGACGGCACAGGTATGACAGTGGGGCTGTCGTGTGTGTGCAGGTGGCACTTTGGTTGAGCAGTAACAGCACACAATGCTCTGAGTCGCTGCTAACGTGGTCTCCCTGCTCATGCCTGCGTGGTGCTGGCAGGTCCCGGGTTACCACAGGCTGAGTATGGCATGGCCTGGAGACCTCCGTTTCCATCTGTACTTTGTCTGCTACGGGGTCAGCTCGCCACCACACACCACTGCTGTCGGCGACACCAGCCCATTGCTGGGCTTCCTGCTGCTCCCACTACTGGATTAGGTGGTCCCTAGTGTTGGAGAAGGAGAGGGCAGCACCCGGGTGGTCCCCAGTGTTGGAGAAGAGGGCAGCACCCGGGTGGTCCCCAGTGTTGGAGAAGACGGCAGCACCCCGGGGGGCCCCCAGTGTTGG